GCTGGGCGGGGAGATGCACGACGCGCTCCGCAGGGGGGAAGCCGACCGCCGGGGGGACGTGGACGTGGACGTGCTGCTCAGGGGCGCGGAGAAGCTGTGCGGCGTGTACGAGCTGCCCGGGGCGAGGGAGCGGATCGCGGCGCTGCGGGTGAGGCACCGGAACGGGAGGAACACGGCGGCGTACTACGAGGCCAAGGTGGCGGAGCAGGCGGAGGCGCTCGCGAGCCTGAATAAGAAGGATTGGATGGAGGATGAGGGGGACGAGGAAGAGAAGGAGGAGGAGGAGGATGGGGATGATGTGTGGACGGTGGAGGATCTGAGGAGGGAGGAAGAGGAGGCGAGGGGTATGGAGGCGAAGAAGAGGGAGCTGCAATTACGGTTGCGGGCGATGGAGAAGGACTTGGCGGCTTTGAAGTATATGTGATTGAAACTCAAGGTTTTATGGTCCGGCTTTCTCCAACGACAACGCTATATTAATGAAGAAATTCCTCCAGCTACGAAACTCTATATGAACAAGGATTGAGAAATCAGAGTCCCGGGAAAGACACTGTGGGGGGCGAGAACGATCATCGGCCTCATTGAGCTGCAGCCTTTCGCAGCGTGTCTGCAAAGACGGAGAACTCCTGGGCGCCATCAATCTGGTACTTGCCGTTGACGATGAACTTGGGCACGCCGTGGATGCCCATGTCGTACGCCCTGCTCACCTCCTCGTCCACTTCCTTGCCGCCCTTGCCCTCGTCCAGCCAGGCTTTGGCCTCGGCGCCGTCCAGCCCCGCGCGCTCGGCCGCCGCGACCAGGTCGGCGTGCGAGGTGATGTCGCCCCCTTGCTCAAAGTACATCTTCATGATCTCCCCGACGACCTTGTGCTCGGCGTCCTTGGCCTTGCCGAACTTGACGAGGCGGTGGGAGTCGCGCGTGTTGCCCGTGCGGCTCTTGAAGGTGAAGTCGATGCCCTCCTGGGCACCGAGGGCCTTCATGTGGCTGTGCATGGGGCCGATGCGGTCGGGCCCGAAGCGGCTGGCGAGGTACTCGTTGAGGGGCAGGGACTTTGTGGGCGCGTTGGGGTTGAGGTAGAAGGCCTGCCAGGAGACGGAGACGGTGTCGGCGGGCGAGGCGGCCTGGTGCTGGGCGATGGCGCGGTCGAGCCGCGTCTTGCCCAGGTAGCAGAAGGGGCAGACCGAGTCTGAGATGACTTTTACGTTGATCTTGGCCATGTTGGTGATCTTTATATGCGATCTTGAATATGTGTGGGGGGTGGGGGGTGAGAGCTCCGTGGGAGTGAGTTTGGGGGAGAATGTAGCGATTGATCGAGTCAATTGGGCCTGTGTCTTATTTAGCTTCAATACGATCTAATCTACGATGCAGGGAGTATATATATCCATTGCTGCATGCTCTTCAAGCTCTTCAATTCCGGCCGGTGGTGCGGGGCTGTCGGCCATGAGCTTACAGATCACGGAAAGTCCGCTTGACGGAATAAAGTTGATTTATAAGCACAAGGCCGAGAAAAGGTACACAATCTTAAATGTATCCCACCGGTGGGTGGGTGACTCGCGTAGATTCTATGATCCGAAATCAATGAGTAAAAAACAGCATAGCCAACAATAAATCCCGGGTATCTCTCTATCAGACCACCAAATAGGGTGGTGTAGTCCAACGCCAAGCCATGAAAACAAAACTTCCAAATTTAGCAAGAATTCACCGAATACAATGAAACCCTGACCTTACGTATGGTTTGCCACAAAGCCCGAACGTGATGCGTAATTTCCCCTTCTTCTCCTACCGTGGTTCCGCCAGTTTCGAGAGGATGGGTGGTTGGCTCGTTCCAAGCATCTCTGGTTATGCTCTCTGACGGCAACCTCTTCGCGTGGATGCCGGCGCCTTCCAGCGCTGCTCTCGGGCCTCTCGGGTCTACTCTGATACTCATCGTGGTATTGGACAGCCCTGTCCCAGTCCTCGAGCTTGGTGTATGGGCTTCTGAGCCACGCGCGCAATTCATGTAAAAACAACCGGGTGTTGTCGCGGCCGAGAAAGTCGGATATCATGTTCTCAGCCTCTCCTGCACTGCCCATCATATCCACCGATTTCAGAATCGCAACGATGTACTCGAGCAGGAACTCTGCATTTTGGGCTCTGCGACTCCGTGTGGCCTCTCTCTCTTGGCGATCGGACGGTCGGTTTTGACCAACAGATGATGTAGACGAAAGACGATCGCTCGTGTCGAGGTCCTGCGGGCTGGCGGTTGATTGTGCCCTGAGGAAGGGGAAGACCTGCAGCTCTCGCCTAATCCACATCCTTGCCCGTGACACCAGCTCTTCGTCTTCACAGAACAACCGGGGGGTGAGTTCGCGGTATCGGGACAATCGATTGGAGCCGACGTGCTTTGAAAAGCGGCCGTGTGCGTAAACAGCCTGTCTGCGGCTGAGCGCACGATCGAAGTCGTTTCGAGAGCGAAGGGGGGAGCGCCCCCAAGCACTTGAGGAACGGGCGTGCGGGCGCCTGGAGGAGTTGGATGTTGGTTGACGACCCCATCTGCTGGTTGAGAGGGGGTGTATTGATGGCGGAGATACGTGGAGGGGAAGCTTCGCATCGCCAAAGTTGGAGAGGACTTCTTGGGTAGAATCACGGATAAGGCTAGAGACAGGTGCTCTGCAGACGGGGCACCTGGGATCTTTGAAGAGCCATGTTGCAATGCAGAGGTAGTCGAAGTGGCGATGCTTGCACGGTTGGGTCTCGGAGGGGTCAGAGATGGGATCGCAGCAAATCACACAGGTGGCAGTGTCATCGTCGGTTGTAGTAACGTTGTTAATCGTGACAAGGGCTTGAGTTTGTCTTTGTTGTCGATCAGCCTCATCAGCTCCAGCACTCATCGTACGGCGGGTTATCCTTTGTTGGAGCAAGGTCGCGGAGGCTCATTACCGAGAGACAAACGAAAGGCGATGTAGATTAGATGAGCCGCGATCGATGACAGTGACTCGGAGCGCCGGAGTGGGGCACAGTCTGGGCGCTAATGAGCGGCGGGTTTAGTGTAATCTTGCCGGGTTACAGGGGCCTGTCAGTGTCCCGGCCGTTGTCTCATTTCGCGTCTAGTGTCGCGTCGTGCCTGTTCAATTAAAGAATTGGATCTCGACGCGTTTTCGACCTCGGAGCTCAGGGCACAAGTAATCGGATACTTATTATGAGATCCCCCAAACGTTTCTCTACCATCCTGATTGAGTCTTTTCTATCTGGGAATCTATCATTTTACATGACCCTCAGCCATGGATTCTCAGACCAAGTCTGAGTATGAAGTCAAGTGCGCAAAGCTACGCCTCGATTTGAAGAAGTGGGAAAGCGACTGGGCAAAAGCACACGGCGGGAAGAAGCCCGGCCGAGACGACATCAAGAGCAATGCAGAAATAGGTAGGTATTCTCGGAGTTCTTGTCTGACTATTATTCTAACCTCACCTCCGCTTCATAGCCCAAAAATACAGGCACTATCAGAAATGTCGAGATATTCTAGATGGCAAAGCGCCAGTACCACCGCCCAAAGACGAAACCAGGTCGAGGAAGCATAGAACCGAGCATCCACCGTCAGAAACTCCCTTGAAAAAGGCAAAGTTTACCGAAACCCCCTCCAACAACCGGATCCAGGACCCCAATGACTTGGCCACTACCCCTTCAATATCTCGAAAGTTGTTCAGCCCTAGTGGCGTGACATCTCTTGGGCCGACGCCCCAACGCGATGGTCGGGTACTCGGGCTATTTGATCTACTAGTTGAGAAGGAGATTGGGACGCCTTCGAAGATGGAGATGGGTGTGCGATCAGAGGTTCGGGGTGATGTTGGAGTAACACCCAGGAAACAAAGAGCCGTTATGGAGAGCGTGAGTTCACCGGAACTCACCCGCTCGCCCATGTCCGCAAGCAAGCGTCAGATGCTGGATACCTTCATGACGCCTCTGAAGAAGCGAAATGGCAACCCAGTTGGGGCTGTCACCCCATCATCAGTGTCGAAACTTCAATTCGAGACCCCCCAGTTCTTAAAAAGACACTCGTTGCCCGTCGTGGATGAGGATGAGAACAACATATTTGGTGCTCCAGCTCCGCTCAGGCTACCACGGAAGCCTCTTGGGAGGGGATTGAGCGAGATTGTGGCCAGCCTTCGAAGGATTGAGGAGGACGAGCTTGACGAAGATTTGGATGCTTTGCGTGCCGTCGAGGATGAAGAACTGGGTAGACCGATTCAGCCACAGAAACCAGCCCCTGATCAAAGCATTCTTGCCAAGGATGCAGCGGCAGAACACTTACCACTTGGTGGTTTCGATGACGAGGGTATGTATGACAGTCCAGTCGAGGATGAGAAGGATCGAGACGGCAACCCCAGAAAGATCTTCAAGAAGAAGGGACAAAAGAGAACAACAAGGAAAGCCAACATCAAACCTGTGTGGACGAAGAGACCTGTGGAAGAGGCTGGAGGCGACGAGGGTCCAGATCAGTTGGCTTCGGGCGACAACGACGAGTTCCAGCCACAGTCCGATGCTGAGTCAGGAGATGACAAGCATAAGGAGAAGCAGAAGAAGAACAAACCTCAAGCAGGCAAAGAGTCAACAAAGGGAGTTGTCAAGCGAGCGGCAAGAAAGGTGAACGAGCTGGCGCATGCCAACTTTCAACGCCTCAAGCTGCGGCAGAATGGAGCAAAAGGAGGACCAGGCTACAACAGCCGATTTCGCAGGAGAAGGTAACAATTGGATCTCCTGCTGGACGAAACGGATTGGTTTGGTTTTCGCATAACGACTCATGAATTATGAACTGGAGTTGGCTTGGGTGTTATCGGGTGTTGGGAAGGTTATTTTGGTCATCCGGATATGTAGTTTCCCTCATAACTCAGCAAGCGGATGATATTGTCTATATGCACTGGAATTGAATATCAAGGATTAAGATAAAAGAAGCACATCAAATCCATGCCTTGGCTACTGCGTATCATGACTTTTGTTGTATTACAAGTGAGGTGTAAGTCAGCGCAAGGTGAGAAGGATTGAAGATTCCTGGCTTCTGATAGGTGGGGCAGCACGCGCTAATATCAACCTTTGTTCCCCTGTTCTTTCGCTCTTTATTTCTAATCCATTCGCAATCAAGGTACGAGTAAATGGATTTCGTGTGATGAACATCATCTTTATTTCCTGGTGAAGCACATCGTCCGGGTTTTTTTTTTCTTTTTGCTTTTCGCGGGGACGGGGCGTTGGCCTTTGCTTTTCTCTATGTCAACGCGATGGAGGAAGTTTCTATAGATGACTTTTTCGACCCAGACCTCCAGGCTTTTTTTGATAACCCGTTTCTGGACAATCTAGGCCATGATTTGGAAGACATAGCGGGAAGTGACCTTGGGACGAGCCTTCCTTTATGGGATGCTCTGGTTGTTCCTGCCGCTGAGCAGGAGCACACCATCAAAAAGGCCAGCCCACGAGAGTCTCTGGACTTTGGAAGCGATGAATTTCCAAAGCCAGATCTCGTTCCATCCAAGCCTTCTCCTCCACAGCACGAGACGCTTCCCCTCCTACCAGCACAACCAAAGCCAACGCCAACGCCAACTGTCCAGGTTGAAATACCACAGTCCACACTACTAACACCACGTTCGTGTTATGAGCCTTTTGAGCCGGAATTTCCTCTCAAGCGGGAGAGCGAGGTCATACAAGAACTCCTTCCGCTAGCTAGAGAGGAAGACACGTCTGGTGGCGAATATCTGGAACTCCAACTGGACGATTTTGCCGTTTACAATGAGGCGGCTCATTACGGCTTGCAGATGAGATCTCTCCACCAGCTGGACACCAAGGACCGCGGTGGCCATTTTCACTTCGATGGCGTTCTCAGATGCCGAGACAGAGCCTTTTTCGTCAAGCACGTTGCGATCACAGCAATGCCCATCCAGAACTATGGTGACCCGGCGCATCAACATACCGTCCGCGATTCTATCTGGCTAGAAACACGACTTAGCCGCAAAAACAACCTCTTTTATCGCTTAGGGAGACCTGCGTCCGAATACTCGCGCTTCTTCCGGCCTTTCCTTTGGGTCGCTGACTTGGCTAAACATTTCGTCGACTATCTCGACGCGATGTGGGAACTCAAACAGCGCGTTTCCATCCATCATTTTCGCGTGGATTTTTACAACTGGCTTCGGAAAACTCATGGAAACGCAAAGGAACTGAATGAATGGCTATCTATGCACCCGAGTACAGACTATCGTACATCTATCGTCGCAAATATCCATTTTCTTTACAAGGAAGCTATTGGTGTGCTAGATCAAAGAGCTACATATGTCCATCTACTGTGGAAGGACTTAGCTTGGGATAACTCAAGATTCCAGCGCTATGAAGAAATAACAGAAAGTTTATACTCGCCTCTGGATCTTTCGAGAACAGTCGTCACACCGTACATATTTGACTGTTTTAAACATTTACCATTTGGTGACCGGCTCGACGCTGTTCAGTTTAGCGACGAAACGCAAGCCTTACGGGATAAGCTCATTCAAGAGCTTTCATTCAATGGCAGCAACGATGGCTATTCGGATTCAGCTTCGTTAATTGCCACCAAGGATCGAATCCGCAGTATCAAGCCAGGCGATACAATTTCAACGCACCGCGATAGTGAAGAATCAGGATCAAAATGGCAGAGGGAAACATCTAAAGACTTCTCGGATGTTGATCGGTGGCTTGCTCGAGTACAACAAGTCAGCGTCAAAAAAGGGAAACGCTACTTCGACGTGTCTTGGTATTATCGGCCCGTCGATACGCTCTGTGGTTTAATGAGATATCCCTGGAAAAATGAGATCTTCCTCTCCGATCATTGTTCTTGCGAAGAAACATTCAAGATTATGGAAGACGAAGTCCTCGGTGTCCATGATGTAGATTTCCACGGAAACCCATCGACAAGCTCGGAATTTTTCTGCAGACTAGCATACATCCACCAGGACAGGAAATGGGTCTCTTTGAAGGAGGAGCACTTGGTCTGTGAACACGTACGGGATCGCGTGGAAAGTCCTACTTACTGCCCGGGCGACACAGTCTTGGTTCGCGTCGACGAGTCCGACCGATCGGAGCCTTGTGAGGTTCTCTCAACTGAAACGAAAAATAGCCGAGGGCGACTGCGAAGATCTCTCACGCTACGGAAGCTACTACGTCGCTCCAAGGTTGATAGAAAAGCTCAAGCGGTTCTCCCCAATGAACTTGTTTATTCGGATGAAGTTATCACGATCCAAGAGAATCAAGTCATGGGGCCTTGCCACGTCCGCTTTTTCCCTGTCGGGACACCAATAAGTCGCCCTTACGACCGCAATGGCGTGGGGAATTTATTTGTACTCAGACACAGATTGGTATCGTCGCTCGAATCTGCCAGGCTGGAACCTCTAACGGAGTGCCCAGGGTCATTGCGTCAAGGGTTTGCGGAAATGAAGTTGCCTCAGTTACGCGGCCTGGATCTCTTTTGCGGTGGCGGTAACTTTGGTCGAGGCTTGGAGGAAGCTGGCGGCATCAAAATGCGCTGGGCCAACGATTACGTTTCGAATGCAATTCACACCTACATGGCTAATGTGGAAACGCCTAAAGAGGTACATCCCTTTCTCGGCTCCATTGACATTCTACAGAAACTCGCTCTTGAAGGGTGTTTCTCTAAGAACGTTCCTGCTCCAGGGGAGGTGGATTTCATCTCAGGTGGAAGCCCTTGCCCAGGATTCTCTTCCCTAACCAACGACAAGACCACAGTTGCGCAGCGGAAGAACCAGTCATTAGTGGCTGCCTTTGCTTCCTCAATTGATTTATACAGGCCAAAATATGGCCTCCTTGAGAATGTCACCGGGATCGTCCAAAAGAAGGCAAATCGAGACCAGGATGTCTTTAGCCAATTAATTTGTGCTGTGGTTGGCCTTGGTTACCAAACGCAGTTCTATTTCCTTGACGCATCGTCCTGCGGTTCACCTCAGCGTCGATCACGCGTCTTCCTAGCGTTTGCCGCACCGGGATACAAGTTGCCTGATAAGCCTCAGCAGACTCACTCTCATCCCGACTATACCAATAATCTCTCACTTGGAAAATTACCAAATGGAGAGGCCATGGCAGAGAGAGAGTGGTTGGAAGCGACCCCTTTTAAATTCACATCCGCTGCGGAAGCCACGGCTGACCTGCCCCCAATACAAGATGGGAAGCCTGATATCTGTGTTCCGTTTCCTGACCATCGAGTATCCATTGGGCAGACAAGGAATCTTCTGCTCCAAATGTATCATATCCCAACCAGACCATTTGGTATGAACTTCGCGAGCTCGTGGTACCGGCCGGATCCTCTCATGACCCGCAGCGAGCGAGAATCATTCTTTGCAGACGACAAAAACGCAACTGTATTGAGGGTGGGACCCAAATCAAACGCTTTCGGGCGTCAGAGACCCGACAGTCTGATCGAGACAGTCGTAACAAAACAGGGTCCAGGTGATGGCAAGAGCGGGAGGCAGCTCCACTGGCGCGAGAACCGAGCCCTCACTCTCATGGAAGCCCGCCGAGCGCAAGGGTTCCGCGACGAGGATGTATTGCTGGGAACCCCCGGCGAGCAGTATAGGATCGTGGGTAACAGCGTCGCTAGAGAGGTTGCTGTTGCTTTGGGTATCGCACTTCGGGAAGCTTATGCTGCCAGTACGGGTGTTGATCCCGCTAGGACCAGGGAGGTGCCAATTGTGATCGTTGACTCCGACAATGACACTGACATCGACACCGAGGCGACGGGTGGCATTCTTTCGAGCACGTCCCGCGAAAACTCCCGGTCGGAAACACCGTTAACCTCGGCCTCTGAGGCCAACTATCTTATTCCAGAACGTGGGGTTCCCAAAGTAACAAAGAAACGGAAGCTGGGTCCGATCCCTATCCTGGTTGATCGTACTTCAAAAATCACCAAGGTCGTTTTAGGCGGCGGGTCTTCGGAGGTCTGATCAATCTTTATTATTTGAAGCTGGCCGATCAGCGTAATTTCTCAATATTCTTTACATATAGAGGTGGCATGGGAGTTGGGCAGTTTTGTTCATGGTATACCCGGTGGTTTGGTTCAGATTCAGCCATTTCTAGTGCGCGGGGAAGCATGCTTGATGCTAGACTTGGGTATATTGGGTTCCCCCGTCAGCGTTGCCTTGGGATTAGACATCGGAAGGGCAGATACGAAGAAAATGGGGGCGTTCATTTCAAGCTATTTTATAGAACAACGTACATATGAGAAGGAAAGAGAAGAGAAGAATCACACATTGACCAATTATGGTATCGTCATATTTCATAAGTATAACCACCCTTGTTAATGAAATCCAACCTCTTTTCAACACCACAACCAGGAGAAGGGAAGTCTGGCTTCTCCCAAAAACTCCGATTGATGCAAATGCGGAGGGAGGCAAATGTTGGCTGGGTCTGCCAGCCCACTGTGTCCTAATGCAATGTCCCTCAAAAACCAACTAGCTGAATAAATGCAATGTAAGAGAAAATAGGAAGTCTGGTTCAGAACTGATCTTGGTCTGGTTGCCATACCCCCATGAGAAGTCGAAGGTGATATAGGCCGTATGCCGCCGCTTACTCATATCCTTCCAAGTCCTTGAGAGTCTTGATCTGCCTTGCGCCCATGGGCCCTGAATTGAATCTTGCAGCGCCATGGCGGGCAATAACTGAACCGAAAAGAATGGTAATGAGCTCCTTGCCAGTGACTATCAACTCATCCCCGGTGTAGCCCTTCATGGCGCATTCCTTAAAGATGTGCGCAATGAGCTTCTCGCCCAACGTCTCAACACTTCGGCCGCTGGCCCAGCCCTTCTCGCCGTTCAAACGGGAAAGCGTGCCCATTAGGTTACCACGTGTGGCCGAGTCCATTTCCCTGGTGTTCTGGATCGTGATGCCGACTTTGCCGACTACTGCCCGAAGTTGTTCGAGACACTGCTCGGCTCGGAGTGGCTTGAATGTAAATTCGGTAGCAAAACGACTCTTCATTCCCGGGTTGAAGCGCATGAGCCGATCCATGTCTTCTTCATAGCCAGCGAGGACGATGATGAGTTTCCGAGAATACTTTGGCTTCGTCACCGCGTCCACAAGCTCGCTGACGGCTTCCTCTGCATAGCCTGAACTGCTGGCTAGGCGGTATGCCTCATCAATGAACAGAACTTTCCCGAGGGCAGATTCCAAGAGACGCTCTGTTTTAGGTGCTGTCTGGCCGCAGTATTCTCCGATAAGCTGCGAAGCAGATACTTCAACAACATCGGGGGCAGCAAGCAAGCCCATGTCGTAGAAAATCTGGCCCAGTTTACGACTGGTGCTGGTCTTGCCAGTTCCCGGTGGCCCCTTGAAAACATAGGTAAATGGGATATATGGGCGAGGGTCAATGCCTCTTAGACGCATTCCTTGAGCCATATACTGATACGACTCAAACTTCGAAATAATCTCCTCGTATCCAATGAATCCTTCAAAGAGGGCACGGGTGTTTGCCACGGCTCGAGTATTCCGGTCCCAATCAGGATCGAAATCCTCTGGCAGGAGAGGCGTCTCGTCTAGGTCGGATTTGATAGCCTCATCCCCGTTGCTGCTCTTTTCGTTTTGTTCGACCTGTTTATCCTCCCCATCAACCTTTTTGTCGGCCGTGTCTGCCGTCTGCTCCTTGGTGTCCCCGAAATCCATGTTGTCGGCCATCCGTTTCGTTCTTGCCATGATAGCCTTGGAGATCAGATTCACGACTTCACCTCCATTCCCGAAATTCGGACGCACTGATGCTCGGCTCAACATGTCCATGGCGACCTGCCTTGCCTTTTCTGTTGCCACCAACTTCTCTTTCTCAAGTCTATAATCGAATATTTTCCCAAGCGTGTCTATGTCGAAATCTTCAAACACAAATGCGGTATCGAGAGGAAAGCGGCGCGCAAATCCCGGGTTGCAGTTGGCATACATTTCTTTCATATGCGCCGAGTATCCGCAGAGAATGACGCACCTGTCTTCCCCTGGAGCACCTGTCACCTCTGCCACCAGAGTGTCAAGGATGGCGCCACGGAAATCACCATTCTTAGAGCCAGTGCTTCGTTTTCCGGGATCCAACATGTGGGCATCGTCAATGATCAGTACACTGCCCTTTGCCTCTGCAAGTGCTTCCTTGGTATTCTGTTCTGAGCCGCCAATGTATCGATCAATGAGATCACTCGGGTTCTTGACGATAACATCCCCTTTTGAAAGGAGGCCGAAATCGGCCAGGATTTTACCGTAGAGCTTTGCAACGGTAGTTTTCCCCGTACCCGGGCTCCCTAAGAAGACACGATTGGCCGAGGCATAGAGAGGTTCCAGCCCCTTCATTTCCCGCTCGTAGTTTTGGTTGACTTGATGGACCACCGAGAGGATTGATTGCTTGACGTTTTCCAGTCCAAGTAACCCCTGAAGCTCCTTCCACGCCGAACTCTTCTCGGGTTTGAGGCATGGTGGCTTGCCCAAGAGATCCTCCTTGTTCAAGAAATAATCCTCAAGATACAGTCCTTCCCTCCTCGCGTGGTGAAATCGTTCAACCTGACGTTTGCAAGCCTCGACGAATGCCTTCTTCAACGGCCAGATGTTTGCAAAGCTCTTTTCTGATGTGCCACGGAGAATTCTGCGGATGAGAATCTTGACATATAAATCATCGACCTCTCCAGCGAGCTTCATCTTCTTGTTGAACCACTTCCGTACCATGCCGTGGAAAATGGAACGGAGCAATTCCTCAGAATAGTTCGGCAGCTTGTAAACAGGGAAGTGGTGTTCAACAACAGCACGGTGGGTGAGCTGATCCGTCAACCCGGCCTCTGCATCGCCAGCCAGAACGATCACAATGGTGCCCGGGAGCTCTTTTGCTCTGGTGAAGAAACTCCACAAGTTGTAATCGTCCTTATCGATTAAATGGGCATCATCAAGCACCACGACCTGTCAAGGGTTAGTCGGTCAAGAACGAAACAGGCGAAGCGAGTATTGTTTCTACTTACACAACCTCCACATGTAGCAGATATCTGGCGCATGCTCTCCAAAGTAGATGTCTTCGCAAAGTAATACGACGATGCCTTGTGGATGCCGGTGTTTCCAGCGGGAGGCTTGAAAAGACCGATTGAGACTAGGAACTTGGCGTACAGGTTTGCACATGTCGATTTGCCCGTGCCTTGGCCTCCGGTGAAGCATACATCGAAGTTCTCCTTTTTCAGGCAAGTTTCCCTTCTTGTCGATGCCTGAATCTTGGCTTTGGCGTGCAAGAACATGGCCTTTACATCTTCGAGCCCCGGCAAGGACATGATCCTGTCAAGATACTTGTTCTCTGCCTTTTCGACAGTCTTTTGACGTAACCACTCCATTCTAGATGATGATTCGTCTTCTCGCTCCTCGGGAGAAAGTCCGTCAATAGACTCATTGTCATCGTCATCCTCAGCCGAAGATTGTCTTTTGGAAATTGTCAGCTTTAACGGGGGCCAAATCAAGAGAGGACAGAACACTCACTCTATCTCAGCAAGAAGATCCTCCATCTTGGTGCACAGTTCGAGAAACTCAGGCGTAGCAAGCACAGGGGGCTCCTGGTCCGTCTGTGCTGGAGCCTGTTCCTGGGCCTCCTCCTCATCGCTGCTTTCCTCCTCGTATGGCTCGTCCCCAAACATCATAGCCACGCCGATGAACGTATCATATTTACCCGAAGCATCGTCGGCGCTCTCATCGTCGGAAGACGACACTTCCTGGCTCTCGGCACCCTCGACACTCTTCCGTAATCTGGGACCCCTCCTTCTCGTGCGGCGCAGCGCGGGTCTCAGACCGAGCAGCCAGCTTACTCGGAATTTGGGATCATTGGTCTCATACTCTCGCGCCCAATCTGCACAGCGGAAGATAACTGGCTTGGAAACGGACGGATTGCGTGGGTCTGGAAGCAGGCCTAGTACGTAGCTTACTTTGAAGTGTGGATCGTCGGTTTGGTAGTGGGCTGCCCATTCCGGGCCATCTGTGGTTGAAGCTGGCTGGGATTGAAGGCCCAGAAGCCAACTGACGCAAAAGTGAGCGTCTGTGGACTGGAAATCCATGAATGTCTAGCAGCAGTACGGGCTGTATGGATGCAAAATGCACATTAAAACCGGCAATCGGAGTGGGAACCGGCTGGCGGCAGAGGATACTTGCATACGACGGCGGCGGTGGTGCACGGGGTAGCTAATAGGATGCGGGCAGGAGCCCAGAAGATCGAGATTCGGGCCGGGCTAGAGTGGGAGAAAGGTGCGGGTGCGGCGGGGGACGTGAGGCAGACGGGGAGTGAAGAGAGAGAGGGAGAATTGGGGAGGGAGGGAGACCGTGAGAGGGGAGCAGGCGAGAAAGTAAAGTGCAAGGAAGGGGAGGAGCGAACGTGCAGCTGGAGGAGGAGGTCTTGCACTTGTTTTAAGTAGACGGCAGATAGATGCAGCTCGCCGTTTGGAAGGTGCAGTAAGGCAGTGGCAGGCAGCAATGGCGCTTGGGGGAGCCAAACCAGCGCCTGAGTCACCCATCCAGTCCCATCACGCAAGCTGATACGATGCGATAGCGACCTGCGCCCTCCCTCGCGTCCGTCCTCCCAGCGGCCTGCTTGGGCCTGCCACCACTGCATGGATGAATTGGATGGCTGGGACTGGACGCGGTCCGCCCTTGTCACGCTGCCCCAGCTCTGCAAAGGGCGAGAAAAAGGAATATCCGTCTACTATTCCCTACTAACCTGTGCTTAGCGGTGCCGTAGCATGGTTGCCTTCTGTCGGGTTGGCCGGCCAGGCATGCGTCTCCCATCGCCGTCTGACCTCAAAACCATCAAGTGAGGCATCCATCCTCCCTCCCCGTCTCCATCGCCGTCCCCATCAACGACATGGGGCCAGGACAAGAACGCCTGAGCCAAGTGCCGGTCAAGTGTGTGCATATTATGCAGTCAGGGAGCGACACAGCCAGCAGCACTCTCCTCCGCCACCCGTCCCCGCTGTTGCCTCATTTTTATGCAAAGCGATAAATGCATTGCCACGAGAAGGGCCGGCATTGGCACGTCCTGCGATCAGAGCAGCGTGAAACAGGGCTTCTGACTGGCCACTGGCGCTGGAGACTGCTGCGCGCTGGCGCTGAGCCCCTCTGCCCCGGCCGTAAGCCAGCCATATCCACCGCGAAATGGATGAATGGTTCGCAAGGCTGAAGCGGGACATCTCCATCCTCTCCTGAAAGCCGGCTCCGCTGTGTGGTCTGGCAATGGGCGGTCGGTGCTCCGGAGGCTCGGGAGCAAACGAGCAGATCTTTTGCTTGACCATTTGTGCTGCTGCTACACAAACTACCAACTGACATTACTTATTATAGACCAATCCATCCAAGGACACAAACGACTCATTCCATTATGTTTGATCTGGCGCTGCTCCGGAACGCTGGTGCGGTGCACAGCAGGGTTCAGATATTTGGTTGGTGTGCGGTGTGCCACCTACAGGCTGCCACGGTCAATCCATCCATCCCCCCCCGCGTATGTCGCCCGCTCGGGGATGCCTACGGCGACTAGCAGCGAAATCTGTTGGGGGTATCCATGATCCATCGTGGCCGGTCGACACTTGAGTGAGACTGCAGGGGACAGGAGGGGCCGTTCCAAGCCTCAACAAGGCATGGAGGCTGGAGGCTTCGGGGCGGCACTTGGCTCTGCCCGGAAAACGCCTGAGAGCCAGTCGCTTAGTGAGGCGGACAGCGATAACGCTCGCTTCTGCACGAAGCGAAACGTGGTGCCGCTCGGCCAGCGCTTGCTCCTCTTGCCCTTCCATTACTGGAGCAGCCAGCAAGGTGTGTGCACTCGCCCACTTCAGACGTGTTCGATTGTGGTGCACCAAGGAAGAAAAAACTGATCCAAAGGCATGCGAAAAATGATATAAACATGCTCTCGTTGTTGGCTGCGCTGGGCAATTTACGTCGCCGTGACCCCATCGCCATCAGTGGGGAGGTGGAGCCGGCTGCCTGGGCATAGCCAAACGTCCCTGTTCACTGATTCCAGGATTCGTCATCCACGAACAGCAATCGCTATCCAAGGTTCCACAATAATGAGTTGGCATTTGTGACGACGCCCTTCAGTTTCTCAATACTGGGTTGGGTCGGCCTATCCTAGGAATCGATGATCGAACAGTGCGTGACTGAACACGGTCTCCCGTCTGTTCTGCCAATCAATTAACACGAAACTCCAACCAAGTGGATGGGACAACAAGCTCCATTGATAGCCGTCATACACTACCAATGGCCTAGTGTAGAATCTAGAGTCGCCTAATTATCAACTTCCAGATGGGTTCCCGCTATCATGGCCATGGTGAAGGGTGATGAGCCCAGCCAATGACATTCCTCGGATGATATGCACAACCAGCCAAGTAAGAGCAAATAAGAGCCTTCAGGTTCTAGTCAATGGCAATCAGCCTTGTGAATAGTGGCGAGGCTTCTTCGCTTTAAACGTTAAAGATATACTGAAGTCGCTGACGAGAATTTAGTACCTACCGGTTCCAAACTTTGAGCTCCTCAACCAAAAAAGAAAGAAAAGTAAAACCTAATTTCCAAGGAAGACATAAACAGTTAGTTCCTGTTTCGGCCATATCATCTTCATTCATAGGCTCGGGGAAATGTCTTCTTCTGGTCAGTGGTCCCTGCACCGATATCATTGGCGTCCGACGTGTACGGCATCACAATACCTGATAGCCGTACGAAAAGACAGCTCTGTAAAAAAAGCACCAATTTCGGTTTTACAGATAATATTCAGTCGCCGAATCAAGTCAGATTGAGCCTTGGTGAGCAGATCTCAGAGGCTTGGCAGAGTTGCTATTTTCTACTTCGAGAAGGCGGCCATGATATACATTCACGAGCGAGCCGCTAAGATGATGAAGTATTGCCCTCACCCCCGCCACTATCGCTGGGACCCCGTTCTACAGATACGAGGTATAACGACATTAACATGCTACTTACCTATTCCCGCATCGTCAATCCACCAGTATGGACGAAGTCTTCGGAAAAGGCGTAAGTGGTGAGCTCTTCCAACCAGTGAATTGCCTAATTTCTGCACATGCATATCCAGAGCGCTCTTAACGTGGGCCTTCTTGAGGAGTAGGTCATAACCCAGACCCTTGCCATCTCCATTGGAAAGCCGGTATTAAAGGGAATGATATTGAGTGGGAAACGGAGGCGCTTCTCAAGTGATACCAATCTCCCCTTCATTTCATCTATTTAAACACGCTAGCTAGAGATACATGAAGACACTCCAAGGCACCGAGGCGACCGAGTCTTGTTACAATGACGCCACCAAAACGACTAAGTCAACCCAGCGGACCAAATTACATATGTGATCCCAACTTCTCCGATCTTCCGCGAAGCGAGACACCATCCAGCAGTTGGTCCATCTTCGCGAGCCCTGCATGGAAGTTCTGATCATAAGCCTATCATAGCAATGGTCGCACAGCTGATGGCAGAACGCTGAGATTGGAGCGACCATCGTAGTCAAATCGATAAATCAAACTACATTCCAGACAGAAAGGATAGCGGAACTTCTGTGTCTTTTCCGTCGGATCAAGCACTCTTGTAACTCCCTTGACGAATTTACCATTCTATCGCTAGACACAAAAAGGATCAATTCGTGCGACGTAGCGGTTATTGACCTCGTCAGTGAGTTTATACAATATGTTGACTTATTCCGCTGCCCTTAGCGGAATGGTTTTATTTTAGGTAACTATCACTGAGCTGGTCATGATTCTTCTTTTGGATGTATTTGAAGGACGCTGTCATCTCTTCACAGTTGCTGAATCTCAGCTTCTCTCCATCCATCAGAATAAACACCTGGTAATCTAACATCCATTTAGTTCCCAGTAGCATTCTTGGTTTGAGATCATCAATGACCCATGCTTCACTTGCAAATTCTGAGTGAGCATCGGTGCCGTCGAGCAATTGGCCGCGTGGCACACATTGCGATCCAGTTCGCGATATTTGCTCATGAGAGTGGATTGACTATCCAATTGACGAGCACATTGCAATTAAGTTCATGAATTTTCTCTTACAACTCGCTTTCGGTTTGACTTCAGTCGCCGACTTTTGAGTCTCTAGCTCAGTGACTTCGACTAGCGGCCTTTTTTTTTTGGAAGAATATCACCTGGACTGTAAACAGAACTTGGCTGGAAATGATAATAATGAAGCAAATATCGCTCAAAATAATAGTCCCTGCTAGGAATTTCAAGCCAAGTTGGATGCATCATGACTAATAGACGCCCTTTCGGTGCCTCGCGCACACCCAACCTGGCAGCAATTCTGAGGGAGGGACGCTTGCACGACCATCCTACGGCATTAATAACTCCCAACATCCAAATTTCCATTTTGGCTACAACCCAAATACTCCGTGAAATGACAGTGAACTGGCATATTGCTGGCTTGTCCATCATCGTCAGATTTCAACATGACTTTCCACCGTTGTAAGATTGGTCGCATGACCAGATTCATGAAGTGAACTAGCACTGGGCTCTCTCATATGTCCTTTCGAACATAGACAGCACTTTGTTCTATTGGACTTGCAAATGTATCTCGGCAGACGGTTCATGTAGCGACTCTTGTCAAGTGTCGTCGGTGCTGGCTTCAGCAGTGGTGCCTGGCTCAGCCCTTTGATTTGCTGATCAACCCATACGAGCAATTCAAATGTTACAAGTTCCTTGCTGAATTCTCAGTAAGTATTAAAAACCTTTAACGTCGTTGTCACACTCTGCCCTAACTCTAAAAATGGCGGCAGTGGCAGCAACAACAATGATGACTCAGTCCATGTTTACCTCGGATTCCATTACTTGGCCCAACAACAGCAGCTTTGGTCTATTTCAGTTCTTAGTTCCCTGACTCTCTTAGTAAACGAAGATTACATTTGCGCAGCCTTCCAGACACTTCTTAGTAGATTCTAGTTGCTAGTGGCCTTAAGAGGGACAAAGGTAGCGTCCATTATCCCATCTCAA